TGAAATGCACATGCACGTTTCAAAAATCGTACACAGTTGACTTTCCTTCCATTATTTCCTCAAGGAAATGTAAAAAATTTGCGATGTGTACCATCTGTCGTTGCGATTTTTCGATTTCGCATGGTGGAAGGGCAGATCTTCTCAAACATGTGCGAACACAAAAGCACAAGGACAACATGAGTTGTTTTGAAGAAAACGAAAAATTAAATTTTTCTTCCGAAACAAAAGACCAAAAATTAATGCAGAATGTCAGTTCTCTGCCTTTTTACTGGAGCACAACTTGCCACTGAATGCATCGAATCTCGCTGCAGCTTTATTTAGAAAAATGTTTCCCGATAGTGAAATCGCTAAGAAATACTCAAGTGCAAGGACCAAAACAGGTGCAATTGTTAAAGAAATAGGTTTGAAAAATAAATCTTCAGTTATTGATTGCATTAAAACAGCTCTGTTCTTCCTCTGTGCGGATGGAAGCAATAATACTGATTCAAAACTGTATCCAATTGTTTCTTTTTTTAATCCAGAGTCTTCAGAAATTGAGTGCAGTTTACTTTCTGTCCCCACTTTAGAAGGACATTCGACAGGCTTTAATATAGCAGAGCTAATTATTAAAACTTTAAAAGAAAATGCAGTCCCTCTGGATAATTGCTTAGCACTTGGTGCCGATAATAACTACCTAATCTAGAAATTAAAAAGTCATTTTTACATGATCAATTCCATGGACAAATACTTTTCATCTATGTTGCATCTAAAAACAGGAGTTTTTCTTTGTTGAATCTGGTTCCTTCCAGAGGAGTTCTGGAAGGAAAACTAGTTTAATGAAATGTTAAACAATCAAATTTCAAGTAGCAAGAACACGTATATTTCTTTTAAAACTCTATTCTTATTTCATTCATACCATTATTTTATTATTTCCCCATGCTGTCTGACGTGTGTTGTAAAGAGAAGCACCATACACGTGCGTGTCTATGTACAAGTGTTCAACATAACAAGAGCTCAGAACACACCTTATATTCATCTCTGAACCCTGAGGTACTATTCTCAAGAAGTGGCTAACTCTGAAGTGTAGCGTCAGAGACCCTAACTACGTTCATTCAATATTTAGCACATATCCACAAAGCGTAACTCTCTTTTCAGTCATACCAATGAGTTAAAACTGTGCCATTACTACAGCATTTTCATTTTTAACATATCGCAGTACTTCTTAACTTTTAAAATAACAGTTCATATTCTACATGAGAACACATTAACATGCCATTAATTTTAGGCACTTCAAAACATACATTAGTAGTAAAATGTTTTGTTAACTTCCATTTCTTCAAACCAAATGCTAATTCTTTTACATTTAAATACTACATTTCAAAAGTCCTTCAGACTAAATTTCTTTTCTTGACAGAATCTTTTAAATAAAATTTTATACAATATTTTTACAATGTTCTTAAGGTACCTCTCTTATAAATTACAAAAGCTTTTACAATACTCAAGTGTTTACACGTACAATAATTTTATGTTACTCGCGAGTAGATGAAAAACATAGTAACAAATAGGTAAACTCAATTTCTCGCCTTTTTCGCAATGAAGGTAGACCTCACATGAGGTAACACTTCTCCTTACAGTCTGCCACTTGCAGTAAGAACAAAAAATTAAGTTTAAGTTTCAAAGTAACTTAAAGTTTTACTTATCGTTGCGATATTCAGACATTCCGTTTAGCCGCCCAGTCCTGGATGGTATCGAAGACCATTGTCTGGTTTATCTTACATCTTGTGCGGGTTTGCCCTTCAGTTTCTTCCTCAATGTGTTTTTTCTTTTGGCATGCTTGATATGGCCCTTTAAAACATTCTTCTTAACTACTGATTGTACTCCCGGACGCTTGATGGGTGCTGTCCTTGGAGGTATCGGGACAACTCTCTCGTTGTTGCCTGGATCTGGCAGCTGGCTGTTCAAACTTTCGTTGCTTCCTTGCTTGTGCAGCTGGGTTTCCCTGATCAATTTGCAGACATTTGCTGCATAGAATTCTATCCGATGGTTCACTCTTCCGTTTTACAGCAGTGTTATGGTTGCGGCCATTTCTCTTGGCTCACTTCACATTTCTAGAACTTTTCCCTTCTTCGTGCTGATGGTGGTCATGCCCTCTCTTTTCTGGTCAGGGGAATGGCTTCTTTTTCTTGTTTCCTTCAGTTTTCCAACGGGGGAACTTTCTTTTCTTGTTTACCTCCCTACTCGTAGCTGACTCTTGCGGTTGTCGTTGTGCCACCTCTGGAGATTGCGTCTGCTGTGCCAGATCCTGCAAAAGATCTTTAAATATTTGCATTTTATTACGATTATAAAGGGGGTTTGATTTGATCAATATTTGCTGTGAACGTTTCACCATTCTTGGCTTTTGAAACCACTGCAGCCTGAGTTACTTTTTCGACCACGTATGGTCCTTCAAATCGTGGACAGAACTTCGCTATTTTATCTTCTGGTGCTGAAGAAAGTGAATGCTTAGTTTTTAACACTTCGTCCCCTACCTCATAAGTTACTCCCCGTCATTTCATGTCATAATATAACTTCTGTTTTCTTTGTGCTGCTTCATTATCTTTCTTTGCTTCGTTAATTAATTTTTGTACAATGGCCACTTGAAATTCAGGGGCTCTTTTTTGAACATAAAATAATTTATCTAACGTCGTTATAATCTTTCTGCCTGAAAATAACAGGAGTTTTGCCCGTCGTGTCATGTTTGGCGGTTCTAAGGGCGAAAGCTAATTCATTGAGATATCCCAGCTTTTATGAAAATTTTTAACATAACTACGAATAATTTTAACTATATTTCTATTGACCTGTTCCGCTATATTTGATATATGACATGATGTATGCCCAGTTTTTGGCACGTCTATAGGCAGTATTAATTTCTGTTTTAGGAAAACAAAAGGAAATCAAAACGCGGCTGTGTAGCACACCATGATGAATTAGTGAGGATAACCTGTTGGATGAACTTTGGGACAAAGATATTCAAAGTTATAAAAACTTCATCAGAATGTGTGAATGATAATTTGAAATGTTATTTGAACAGGTCACTCATTAAAAAAAAATAACGTCCTTTCAAGATGCTCTGCCAGCAAAATTAAAATGTAGATAGCACTTCGGTTTGTGGGGACAGGTGACTCCTACAGTTCTCTGTAATATTTATTTCAAGTGCTAAAATGCACAATTAGCATATTTATTCCAGAAGTGTATGAGGTTGAGCGGAAATCATTAACCTTTTGCTTGAACTCTCCAACACCCTCAAATTATAACATGTTAATAATAGCCTCATATGCCTTCTGTCAGCGATTTTTATTTTAATACTGCTGACTAATCATTTGTAAATAAAATCTAATTTGGTTTTCAAATAAAAAGGAAAATCTATAGACAAAATTTCAGAATTTTAGATTATACAGTCAAAAGTCGTTAATTCGGACACCCATAATCCGGAATGATCTATAATCCGGACCTTAAAGCTAAAAATTTTCTGCGCATGTGCCGCTTTAACACATACGCATAAGCGTTTACGCGTGCATGTAAGACCTTTACGACTGCGCGTGTGCGCAAGCGCAAAATACGTTTTCGCATGCGCGTTTTATGTATAACGGACGGTATAAGCTAAAATTATCTAATTATCTATTTCAGTTAATGTTGATGATTGTATTGTTCCTTAATCTTCGAATTGGATCCGGCTTATTATTTTTTGCAGACTCTAAGAGCAAGTTTATAAAAGTAAACTTGAACTTTCAATTATGTCAAATAGAATTTCCAATGCTGGAGCTCCCAAAGGATCTACAAAATGAAAGTATGTTTCGATGTCCATCAAACAAAAAGTGGAATTGCTGCAAAAAATGGATAAAGACATGAAGAAAGGGACAGAGAGGTTAGTGAAAACGAAAAAATTTCGATTGACAAGTTAGTCGGTATTCTCGGCACAGCACTTACGGGACTTGAACAGCGGAACTTTGTAACTGAACAAGAAATTATGTCTGTTTATAGAATTAAAGAGAAAGTATTATCACATAAAACGAAGCAACTTAAACAACTTGCATTGAAAGAAATGTTTAATAAAGTAAGCAAATAAATATTAAGCCCTTTTTTTTTTTTTTTTTTTTTTTTTGTGTAAATTTTGATACCCTTTAGATCATAATTGTTCTTTATTTCATAAATTACGGTTTCATATTTTTAATTTTAAGAATTTCTGCATGCCATCTTATGAGATTTAAACTGATGATCTATAATCCGGAAAAATCGATAATCGCCAAAGTCTTGACGTGTCCGGATTAACAACTTTTGACTGTATCTTATTAGGTGTAATTGGCCATGAGTAAAAACTGTTTTTTCGAAATCTATATCAAAATAAAATAAATATTTGCCCTTACTTACTTTAGTTGAAAACTATTTTTTTGTGTAGTTGAATAACATGTAATTTAATTGTTTTTCTTATTAAAAAATTTCAGAAATAAATATTTTGTATCTGATACCCAAAATTAATTTTCTTCTATGTTTTTTCTACCATATCAAAAACCTAAATTCATTCTGATCAGTAGTTATATCCATGTTATATTTAGATATTAGTAAACAATTGTCATAATATTCAAGTAGTGAAATATCCCATAATACTTCAAAAGATGTATATACATTAAAAAATGCCATAGTTAGATTATTGCTCCTTCTTGGCATTTTCGATATGACGAAAAAATTGGGCATGACGTCTCTGTCAGCATGCTTGGAGTTACTGCTCAGGTAGATTTTCAAATGGTTCAAAGTAGCAATGGACTCGCTGATTCATCTCCCCTACATTTCTATTCGAAATAAGCATTTACATTGTCAAAGTAGTCGTAACGAGGGGCTCACTGTGGGTCACTCGGACAGGTGTAAGTGCTCTGAAATTTCCAACAGTTTGAAGGCATACTTGTTTGCAATGATATTTTTTATGTAATGTTAATTATTAATTTATTTCTATGTTCAAATATTTTATTCTTCTATTGCTGCATTAGGTTACTCCTGATGATATTATTGATCTATTTGAAAAAGTGACTATGAATATTCATATGACGTTAACAACAAAGGAGTATTCTACTACTGCACTTATGAAGCTTACGGTGCGGTTTCCAGACACTGCCCCGTTAGTATATGATAATTTGCCATATTAATTTTTGTACGTATGATTTAGCTGTTAGAAATTTTTTATAATTTTTTCATTTGGTGTGTACTCAATATATAAAATGCATTTTTCTCCATTTAAACAATTATAAAACATGTGAGATGTATATTTTTTCTGTGCATAATGTATGCAAAACGTTTTTATTTACAGTTTGTATTTATATTTTTCAGGCATGTGAAACGCTTCTTAGACATTTTTGGAACTAATGTAAATGTGGAATTGCAGCAGAGAGCTATTGAATTCTCGTCATTATTCCGAAAGTACAACCATTTACGGTAATTTTCTTTTATCTGAGACTAACATAGTCATACATGTACCATGTTATGCAGCTTGCATTCAGATTTCACTTTATTTCAGTATGGTATGGAAAATCTAATTAAAATTTGATTTTTTTTTTTAAATCCTACGCCCATTTTTGTCATTTCTGCTACTAGTCGAAAAGCAGCCTAGTAAAATGATGAGAGCGTAAAAACAAAAGCGTAAAAAGCAACTCCAAAGCTCAAAGTAAGAAAGTGGAGACTATTTCTTTAGTTGGGCAGAATATTCCAGTTATGTACTGCTACATCAGCATAGGATATTCTGCTATTTTTTAATTTATTGCATATAATTCTTTTAATATTACACAAAGATAAAGGATAATCAGGTTTGGCTGTAAGGCCTTGGCAAATTTGTCGACTCCATTTTTAAAAATATCACAATGGCTCGGAATCCACTGAAGAGCAATGCTCTTCTGATTTCCCTTAGCTCAAAAAGTTTTATTTTACAAGAATGAACCTGGGCAATTTCATTATGGTTAGAATTGGTAAGTGGCAAAATAACAGCTCGTGAATCGATGAAAAACAGAATATTTTGATCTGGGCTATTTTTTTATTTATCAATTGCATATGTTATAGCTGCTATATCTCCATCAAAATTCTCATAGTACCTCCCAACAGGACAGCTAATGCTAAAATTACTTGAATAGACTCCACACACACACACACACATCACATTTTCCGCTGAAACATCTGTTTAAACATGGAACCACTTGTCTGGAAGGTGCCTCTTAATATATGGTAACCAGAGCAGCATTTTGTAACTCATTCAGAGTGGAACGGTGTTTGTTCGCATTTCAAACATGATCCAGGTGTTTTTCCAGTGTATCTGAATTTAAAATGGGATTCCACTCCTGTGAGAAAAACCTGTTGATTGGATGTAGGAATATATTGTGAGTATCATAAAAATCATTTTTACAGTCAAAAGGAAGAATATGTGACTGTTTAGTCTTTCACTTGCTGGTCTATAGCAATTTAAAAAAATTCCTTTTCTTATGATTTTTTCAACAAGATTCATAGCACTCCTTTGGCATCTTTCATTTCAGGGCTTCAAATCTGTCTGTGATTCTGTAGCAACAATAGAAGTCAATTTTGCACCAGCAGTGATCAATTGCAACATTTTGTTTTGAAAAATATCCAGGATGTTTCTTACAGAATCTGGGGCAGTAATGAAAACTTCATTACCATATTCAACAACAGCACGTACATAGCTTTTATAGGCTGTACACAAAACATCTTGGGTCAAACCCCAAGTAATACCAGCCAGACATTTCAGTAGTTTAGAATATCCTCGATCAATGGCTGCATTTATTTGTTTTTTCTGGGATTATTTTGGGTCTAAATGAGTGCCCAATTAAATATAATCATGTTCTATATAGATCTTTATTATTATAATGATTGTGAATGTCATGGTATTTAATGAAAGTTGTTCTTTTACAAAGAAAGGGGAAAAGTATGTGTTTTTCATTTGTCTGTATATGTGTCAAATGGTTAATCTATTTATTAATTTACAGCTACTTCTTAGCATGTGGGTTGAATTTTATGGAAGTTTAGCAATGTATAAATTTGAAATTTCTCTAATTAGTTAAGAAACATTGACATGTGTTCCAAGTTCATTCATTTTCATAAAATTTCATTGCCATTTTTGTTGACTAAGCATTGCAGTTTTTAATGTTTCATGTTACTTTTCTATTGTTGGTCTTTCTATGATTATTATTAATTCATACTTGCAAGAAAATTTTAAGATTTTTGGGAAGTGTTGTCATGCTTAGAATACTGTCATACATTTGATATAGCTAACTGTATAAAAATGCCAGTCTTCCCACCCCTTTGTTTTGATATCTGTGTAAGTAGACGGAGAATATTTTCATGTTAAATTATTCCTTGGAAAAAAGTTTTGCTCTTATTTGCTAATAAAAAGCTTTGAGAATCATGAAATTCAATGTATGTGAGAGCTGTAAAACATGCTTGTTATAGTTTTCTTTAGATTGTTAAGCAAAATTAATATTCATTGTCATCAAAATAAAATGTGCTGAAGTATGCAACAGACTTCAGTGCAGAACAACTAAATCTTTTCTCCTTAGAAATTGGTTATTCAGGCTCTTGTGAAGGAATTTAGTACAAATTAATATAAGATTTCTTTTGTGTACATGCTTTATTAGATGTTTTGTGCATTTTTATTTATAAAAAATGCAGCTAATGTGTTATAGAATATTAAAAAAATTATATGTGACATATCTTCTGCAAAACATTTTTGAATAATTGAAGTAGTTTGTGTGGAAAAATACAAAGTATTTTACTTTGAAACTTTTATTTTGATGGGTATACTGTATGTTAGATACGACAGTAAATGTACACTATTTTGTCCATTCATCAACTCATTTCTACCTAAATAATTTCTGTAAGAATTTAAACACAACTTCTTACAACTGTTGCCACTCAAAGCAAAACTAAAGGGAAAATAATATTACACTGGTTGAATGTATATGAGCAATGCTATACCTTACGTACTCCCACCTTTTGATAACTAGATTTTTATCTCAACAAATATTTAATTAAACTAAAATTAAACCTAAATGTTCATTTTAAAGTTCACTTAAAGGTCTGTTTTAAAATTTATAGTCATTGAATCTAGAAGGCATCTTTATAGCTCGACCACTAATCCAATCTATAATGCTCATCTAAATAGTCATTAAACGTTTTGGTATCTGGATCAAAAGCTGGTCTAGGTTTAGAAATTACTTAGTCAAATAAGGATTTCTTTCTAACCTTTATCCTTCCTGTGTGAGTTGACTCAATCATTTCTTTCTGAAATTGTGATTTAGAGTAACTTTTGGAATTTGTAATCTCAACACCTCTAGTTTGTTGGCAATTTACCCATCAAAACCCATCCAAGCTGTGTTTCCATGGCAAAAATGCCTGTACTTAATTTCTGTGTTTTTTCTGTATAAATATTTCTTGCAAAGTCCAAGCCTACTAAAAGATCAATCTGCGGGTGGACACAATCAACATCTGTGATATGAATTCCCTTTCCAGCTAATTCTGGTATCGAAGGTTCTTTTTGTCAACTAGGTATAGATCCACAAATTATAGGCTAATCTAAAACAGGAATTTTGCAGCTATAAACGGTATGCAGATTCTCAAGATTTACCGTATTTGACGGCACATTTTTTCCTAAATTGGGTCTCAAAAAAGTTACCTGCGTCTTATATGTGAAGGTAATTGCATTCAATAATTGTTTATTTGGCTTTTACGAAACGTGAGAACTAAAAGAAACCACGCTATTGAAACTTTTTTTCCTTGTGTGTGGCCGTCTAAATAAGGGTGCGTCTTATATGCCGTCAAATACGCTATTTTATAACATTTATGATTCATATCAGATGTCCTTCCTCCAAGCACAATGTGTGTTGATTTTTTTATGAGTTTCTAATCTTATTCCTAAGGATTCTACTGTTGATTTTAAAATATAGGAATATTCAGATCCTGTATCGATTAAAGCTCGAAGATGAAATTTCTGTCACCTATGCTTAGCACAGCATATTCCTGAATTAGAATACCCATATCCCAAGATCAAGTCTGATAAAGTGATGCTAGAACCCATTCTCAAGCGCAAAATAGTTGTATGGAGATGCATCATCCATTGTAAATCATGTCAATCTGCAGTGGACCATCAATTATCCAGTGTGGATTAACCATATGAGGCCAGCTACACATTCACTCTCGACACTATGCGTGAGAGTGTGTAGAAACACACATGCACATGGACGCACACTACTTGCTATGTGTAAGAGTGTGTTAAAATACACACATGCAACGATTTTTCTTACTGTAGAAGTATGTCTTAATTGTGAAGAATTTGAGGTAATAACTGAAGTTATTACTATAACATGTTTTTTTTTTAATTTTATTTTTAGAAAAAATTTTGGAATACAGCTTCAGTTGCCAAAAAAATTAAAATGTAAAATTCTTCACAAGTGTCAGTCGTAAAAAATCAAGGAATGGTTTCATAGTTGCTTGACTGAGTTGGACTTTCAATGCCTGAGTGATGCAAATATCATTTCAGTTGTCGCAAGAATAGAAGAGGCTGTGAGTGATACTGAAAATGCAAGTAAAAAACGATCCTGAATATTCATTATGTTAATTCCAAGAGAGCAATGACTTTTGGACAAGAGAGCAAACACTTTTGGACTTCGTCATTGAAAGGGAATTTGAATAAACTATTAGTATTTCGAAAAATATGCAGTGAAATCCAGCAGATACTTAAGCATTCTGAAAAACAAAGTAATTTCTGATTTATGAAGAAATCAATGCATACAATATGCATGAAAATTAATAACCTGGTTATCCGTGTTCTTCAGTCATTCCTGACCTGCTTAGCCTAATTAACTGAGAATGCACTATGTTTTTATATTCCCCCCCATTTCTGTGTTTATAATATTGAATACCTGTAGGATTACTTTTAGCAATAAGCAAGGGCATTTTTTATGCTTTTCTTCTTCATTGATTTAGGCAATTTTAATAAGTAAATATTTTTATATGTATTTTATCTTTTGCATTTTAACCCAATTATGTCATCTTCATTATTAATTTTGCTTTATTCTCAAGTGTTACAATTATAGTGAACTTCCTCTTACTCAGCTTTGGTTTAACTTGGTTTCATGTGTACCAGCTGCTTTCTGTCAAGACATTTTTACGCAACTTAAAATTACTGTTACTAATCCTAGGAAAAGTGTAGTGTACTATTCATAACTTATTATTCCAACCAGAAAATAATTTTATGTACTATAGAAACTGCTAGACATAATTTAAAAATATAAGCACAAGCTTGAACATTTATGCTTCAGTTTGTGGTTGTTATTTGTCCTTCACACTGTAGGTGTTTTATGTCCATACTTCATTTTTATTAGTCCTGGTAGCTAAGTTGTATTAATTTGAAATGATGATGTGCAACAGAAGCAGGAACATGAAATGTCAACAGAGCATGTCAAATGCTTTTCAGTTTATGTGGCTTGTTATTGGGTGCCATAGAAGCTGTTTGATTGCAAATCCACTGTGCAAGAAATTAACCCTTTTTTAATCATTTTAAATATGTGTACCTTTTTTATATTTAAATATACCATTTTAAATATCTTTTCCTTGAACAGTACATTTCCCCCAGGAGTTGAATGTTCAGTTGTAGATTTACCTATGGATGGCCGAATCCATTGGTCATTTCATTGCTTTGTTGCTTAAATATTGCTGAGATGCATCATTAAGCCATAAAACAGTACTCTGCGTGTAAAAAGTAAATGCATGTAAGTATGTACTGTAAAAGAGTGGGGAAACAACACAAATTCCATACCATATTCAGGATTTGTATCCAGGCCAATCTTCATGAAGTAGCTTCTGTTTAGTTCCAGTTTGCCCAGTGGAAGCAGAATGCTAGTAATGTGCAGTGTATTAGTGTATATTACCTTGTAAAGAATTATCACATTGCCTTTCACGTGCTCTTGTGATGTAAACTGTAAACTCTTCAAACCAGCAGGTGGAAAATCTATGGCTCAAATCCTGTAGAGGTCACAAGTGATTTTTAACTTTTTTGTGCTTCTAAAATCCCAATGGTTTTCTCTGTGGCACTTGAACTAAAATATGGATGATAACTGGTTGTCACCTGTATTTGATGAGTTGGATCTCGCCTTTTTCCCGGTTACCTTTTAAATGAGGGGGAATGTGAGGCATTATCACATTCCCCATTGCAAGGTGTAAATGATTAACACATCCAAGTAGCATTTGGAAGGTCTGTGGTTTGAATCTTCATGAAGGTGCAGTTGGTTTTTCATGTATCTCATCCCAGCAATCTGGTTAGTCTCTGCAGTCTTTAGTCGGAGTGTCTTATCAATAAGAAATGATTAGAAAAGTTTAATGACCCTCAAGTGATTGCCGGTTATTAGTTCAGATTAAAACATACATGAATGCTGACAAACAGAAATATATTATTACAAAAAAGACAGTGGTTGAATGTTTGAAAAAAGATAAGTAAAAAAAAAAGTTGAAAATGAAGTTTATTACTAATTTAAAACTGATTTTCATAATTAAAGGATCATCTACTGATAATGTCTAAAGTTTCACAGAGTTTATTAAAGCCATTTTTAAGGATATAAATGTTTTCTTTGCAATTAATATTTCCTAAATAAATTTTTAATTTTATATTTGCTTTATACAAATAGAGAATATTTGTTAATATATTTTGAAGATATTTTATGTGTTATACGTATTTCATTCTATAATTTTGACTGCTGAAAATAATTTGCATGTCAGTTTCTGTCCATAAGCACATTGGAAAATTTTTTACATACGTTCTGCAAAGTTATGGTAATTCATTCTGTGTTTAAAAATTTTTAAATTGTATTAAATAGATAAAATTTAAAAAAAAATTCTGTTTACAGCATTAGAATAGTGATTTCAATTTAGTAGTTGACTTCTGGATAGTCGTAACTATTTTTTACTGTAGTGACTTTCCCTTCTTTCGAAATAACTGAAATTTAAGTTCTAAATGTGTAAAACTGTATCTAATCACATATATTAATCAAAATACCTTGTTTCTAAAATTTATTTCTATTATAAGATGAAGCACTTAAAATTATAACAGAATTTAAATATCTGAGTTTGTGTTTTAATATTTCATCAAAAAGGCTGAAACATATTTTTTTTATTGTACTGTACTTTTTTAACGTTTCCAAATGATACACCTGAGTATTTAAATTTGCTTGCATTTTGTTTTTAATTTTGAATTGGTCAGGCTTTTGAAACTATATTAATTATTATCTAGCACAATGAAACCTATGCATTCATTTAACCCTCTCCATTTATGGATCTTTACCTGTGTATCAGTTGTTTGTTCTTTTAACAAGTTGTTATATCTGATGTAATTTTCAGGCCTAGTCTTCTGGAACACATGCCAGCTATGGAGAGCAAGAGTTCTAATAATGTTGCGATACAGAATGGAGATATTACAGAGGAAGACTTATTTAGTAATGCTATAAAGGAAAATAAAGAGAATCAAAAGAATGTTGAGGATTCTGTAAGTATTTAGCTAGAATTTATGTGTTCTGTATAGATACATTTTCTAGCAGCAAGTTTAGCAAAGAAAAGATCATTTTGAATACAAGGATTTGATCTGTTCATTCTCTTATAGAATATATTATCATATGATGCAAACTGTCTTTTATGTGATCTGTTTGCTTCTTAAATAATTCAAAGTTGAAAACTAAGTTTATATTTCTTGTGGATTCCTTCATGCCTTATCGTCTAAATATATTTCACTTTACTCATATGAATTCATGTGTAATTAATGCTATTATAATTCATATAAATTAAATTTTTTACCTAATCGTTGCTGTCATTTTTATCATTTCAAGAGTCTGTAAGCAGTGAAATATATAGTTTATGTTTCAGATTTAACTGTATTATTTAAAATATAGTTGTTAACTGAATGTATTTTAAGTTGTTTGAATTTTATAAAATTAAATTCATCAAATTTATTAATTATTAATGTGTATTAATTGCAAAAAAATATTAACGGAAATACAGATCCATGTTCCATGTTAATTCATACTGGCTAATTATACTGGACCTGTGTTATTGAACCATATTTATCAATATGTTGATGTTTGAGGGGGATAACTTCTACTGACAGATTCTATCAGTTTACAGAGCAAATGTTATAGCACTGTTTCTGAAATCCTGAATACATTTTGAGAAAGTACACAAGTAAATATAATGAAACATCTTTTATGAAAGTATTGAGCAGCAGGTCCAATTTCACAGAGCAAACTAGAAGCCCCCCTTTCTCTCTCTTTTTATTTTATTTATTTATTTATTTGTGTGTGTGGGTCAGTCATCAGGTTATGAATTTTAGAATTCAAGTTGCAAACCTAAATTTCATTTCTTTTGATAAATAAAGTGATGTCGTAGTATATGTCTTTAATCTGTTCCAGATAGGCGATTCTTTTATGTGTATCAAATGAACTTTTCCAGTAAGAAATAAAAGTAAATTAATTAAACCATTCTTTAGAAATACCCTATTGTTATTAATATAATGCTGTTTAATACTAAAATACAATTGCATTGGGTGAAATGTATACCATACGTGAATGAATTACTGCACATGATAATGTCTATAAAAGTTTTTCTGATCTCCAGATAAAAAATCATTTTTTAACATGCTTTGATCTCTCATCTTTGCTAATTGATTTCACCTCTTTCACAGCTTCCCAGACTTAATAGTTTCTTTGTGTTTCATAATCGTATGCTTCATATCGTATATAGTAACAAAGTCCTCAATATGTATGTGATCTTTGTACTTCTCAACAATCTCTTTTTTTCACCTAGTTCATTGTTAATGAATTTACAAAACAATTCCTCAAAAAAGCATAAAATTGTTTGAAAATTGGGTTATTTACGTAATAACAGCAACAGGTGCTTTGACATTCATAGGCATTTGTAGCATTGGCTTGAAAGAGGTAAACAAGTGTAGTGTGCACAGTCATAACTCATTGAATTTGTGTTCCAAACAAATGTCATATACCAAGCAAAAATTATTGCACCCTAACAGAACGTGTACCATAGTACCACTGTACTACATGCTGTTCTTTTCATTGGAGCATCATAAAAGTTAACCAGTAAAAGAAAAAGATTGCTTTTTATTTCAGTTTGGAATGTACGGTGTACTTTTCTATGTTTTGCTGCAAGGATCTTCTCCATTTAGGTCGCCTAGTATTGTAAGATATTAGTGTGTGGACCTGTGGATTAATCTACTTTCTCTTTTTGACGTATAAAAAGGGCACTAATGTGGTAGGACTGCTCACATCTTTTTCTATATATGTCAGCAGTGAGCATTGTATTGGAGAGAAAATGTGCCGTTAGTAACAGCACTATTATAGCTGTTCTGTTTAATGTGCGCTGAAAAAAAAAGTTTTAATTTAAAGAGTTTTTGATATATATTTTGCGCAATAAACTGCGGGTGCTGGAAAACCGAAAAAGTCAGGAAATCGAAAATTGACCAAAAAGTCAAGGAATTTAACAATTTTAGTCAAAATTTGAAAAAAATTAGGGAATTTCATAACGGCAATCCCCCCAAAACCGATTTTCGCACCAATGTTGACAGTGATCACGTTCTTGGGGAATTATGTATTGCGTGCTTGTCATTCGGGCAGCTGGCATAGAGCCAATTTTTGCGGCGCTAACCAGATTGTCTTTCAGAAAGGCAAAGAAAGTTTCCAGTATCTTTGTTTCCAGTAACCTCTTGAATTCAGGGGCTCGCACAAAGAATCGTATGCACATGTGGAACGGAAGAAAGAGATGAAGTTATGCCTCGTGGTTAAGAGAGCACGTTTTTCTGTTTTCAGTTAAAAAGTCTGGTAAGTTAAATTTTGTAATCTTTTACATCTTATTAATTTTTTTTAATGTATGTTTACGTAACACTCTATCGTATTTGCTTTTTAAAATGATAAGAATTCATGCAGTGCATTTTTAAAGTTAAAAGAAGTTTATTGTTGCTTTTTGAATCATATTTTGTGCAGTATTAAACAAATCAAATTGAACTGTTTAGCTTTTCAACATCGTTGGTGGCGTGTATTATGATTATTGGACTTTGAAATGACGCAAAAAAAATCTGATACTTTATAATTTCATTAAAAAAATTGACTTTGTTTTGTAATTGGCAAAATATTCTTCTCTCCCCCCATGTGTGTGTGTGTGTTCTGAATTGTGGTTTTCCGTTGTTTTCGATTTTTAAATAATTCGCATTTAAAATTTATTTTTGAGAAATAAAATAAACGACGATAAAACTTGTTGCCGAATTCAGAAACAAACAGTAAATATTAAAATGTTTGTCCCCTCTTTTTTTATACACTTCATGTTGTAAAAATCAGTAATCAATCCTGCTTTTGCTTGAAATTTCCAATTTTGCTGTGCCCTTCCTCCAAGCTCATACAAAACAAAATCTTTTAAACATTTTTTTTTTTTTTTTTTATAAATGCCTTGTTATTTTGGAGTAAATTAAACAAAATAATAACAAGTTATCTTGACTAACCATTCAATATAACTATATTTGGCAAAATACCGTTAATTATTGTAATTCACTTTTTAATCTTCAATTAATTTATTTAAATGTTATTCATATCATTTAATGTTGCTTCATCCTTCTAAATTTATTTCTTATTAGTTAATACTTTCAAATTTCAGGCAATTTTCTGTGGCATACTCGTGAAACTAATTCTGGCAGTATGATAACATACCATTACGAAATCTAGTGCACATATTTTTAACTTATGTGTGTTGCTAAATAAGTATAAAATACTTGAATTTATTTAAAAATATTAAATAGATTTCTTTCTTTTTTTAGCTGCAAAATATCTGAAAAAAGACATTTTTTAATCCAGGTTGGGCAGATTCTAGTCTCAATCCTCAGTGGAATCCATGGTTGCAACCTATCGAATTAGCTCCTAACATGGCAAGATGCACGTTTTGCCAACAAAATATCATGCTTAGTACCATGGGAAGGAAAGCAGTTACAAGCCACATAAACAGTGTAAAACATAAGAAAATCATTTTTGTGAAGATGAACTCTGAAAACTTAAAAAACTATTTCTCCATAGATAAAAGCAGTTCTGAAACACAGCAGTCTTCGGCACTAGTTGCTGAATCATCAAATTTAAACGCGTTCACACCTGAGGACAAAGTTTTTGCTGCGGAATTACTGTGGGCTATGAAATTTGTTTCTTCAGATGTTTCTTATAATGCATTTAATGCTGCTGCTGTTCTGTTCCAGAAAGTGTTTGATGACAGCAATAAAGCTAAAGCTATGACCCTGGGACATACAAAAATGTCATATTTAGTGTCATTTGGTTTAGCTCCATACTTCAAAAAGATGCTCATTTCTGATCTTAGAACACTGAATTTGTAATTTGCTTCAATGAAGCATTAAATAGAATTGTCCAGAGAGGCAAAATGGATCTTTTTGTTAGATTTTGGGACAGTGCGAGGAATGAAGATACCTCACATCAATTTTTTGGGGACATGTATCTGCCAATGACCTTCTGAGAAGTTTCTTTGAGGGAACCTCAGAGCTAGATAAAAAGAAATTGCTGCAAGTATCATTGGATGGACCAAATGTCAATCTTAAATTCCTCAGAGATTTGAAAGAAAATTTAGCAAATAATGATGCCTGCCATGTATTACATATTGGGTCCTGTGGTTTGCATGTTGTTCATGGTGCCTTTAGAGCTGGCCATAAAGGTACTGACTGGAATTTAAGTGCATTATTTAAAAATATGCATAGAGTATGTAAAGACAGTCTTGCTTGGCAAGCAGACTATATTGCCATCACTAACTGTACAACTTTTCCGTTGAAGTTTTGTGAAGTAAAATGGTGTGAAAACATACCTGTTGCTGAGAGAGCTATTGATATTTTTCATCATGTCAAAAAATATGTAGAATCATCCGAACTACCAAAAACTGTGTCATTCAAAAGACTGAGAGAAGCTGTTAAAGATAAGCTACTTTTGGCAAAAATCTCATTTTTTATTTCGGTTGCAGGAGTTAATTTACATCCATTTCTAAAGTCATTTCAGACAGCTGATCCTTTGTGCCCCTTTCTATATACAACTTTCCATAGTATGCTAAGTCATCTTCTCTCCAAATTTGTCAAAAGAGATATACTGCGAGAGGCAAAAGCTCCTGAAAAACTGATAAATATAGATATTCTGGATGAAAACATTTATTGTAATGTTGCAGATATAGATGTGGGTATTGCTGCTGGTGCGAGTTTAGCTAAAAGTGGAGTATCTGATCTTAACAAAAGAGAATTCAGAACTCGGTGCAGAACATTTTTGGTTAAGCTGGTATAAAAAATATTTGAAAGAAGCCCATTGAAATATAGCTTAGTTAAATACATTTCTTCATTAGATCCTAAGCTCATTACGTCTAATGAATTTTTATGTGAGAAAAGGATGGAGAGGTTATTGCATATAATATATGAAAGTGAATGGATAAATTCCACAGTTTCAGATAAATCAAAAATGCAGTTTAAAGAATTATTATTCAGAAGTAAGGGTGTTTGGAAAGACGCTTTTACTAATTATGCTTCAATGTGACTTGATCACTTTTATAAGGATTTGATTAATAACTCAGATTTTAAAGAACTTTGGAGTGTTGTAAAACTAGTTCTAATTTTATCACATGGCAATTCCACAGTAGAAAGTGGATTTTCAGTTAATAATGATATGTTGGTGGAAAATCTGCAGGAAAATTCTTTAACAGCAGTGCAAACTGTTTATGATGCTATAAAAGTAAATGGAGGTGTGATTAATATTAATGTAACTCCTTATATGTTATGATATGCCAGATCTGCTCGTGGTGCATATCACCGAGCACTCGAAGACAAAAAACTGTGTGATAATAAACATAAAAAATACTATTAGACAAAAGGAACAAGGCACAGATTAAAATTTTGGAGTCAAAAAAACAAAAATTGAGCAGAGATGTTTCTTCAATTGACTTGCAAATTGCAAAGTTAAAACAAGAAATCTAATTTGGTGCTTATTTTTCATTAGTATTTTTTCTATTAGTGTTTTGTTTAAATATATTAAATGTCATATTTTTAATTCTAATAAATATTTTTCATTTAACATATGTTATGTATGCTTATATTAACAGTTTTGCATAAAAAATGCTTTTTTAACCTTTCAGAATTTAGCAAGTGTTGAAATATCACTGAGGTGATTGTTTGCCAATTATATATTATTTAATAGGATAGATATAAATGGGCCCCGCACTGCCATTTTGTGAACAATAACTTCCATTCCAGAATTTATGTATAATACTTTTTAATATCATTCATAATTTTATTGCAATTAATGGCATAGAAAATCTTATGTTTAAAAGTTCATACATTCTATTGAGAAGACAACGAATTTCATTTCTTTTTTGTTTAGTGGAATTTGGTTTAGATGGAATGCATTGTACTTATTTAATTTCTTTTGTAAATGAAAGTTATTGGGGAAAATGGAAAATAACTCCTATTGTAGTCATAATAGTAATGTTTTGGTAATATACTTTTTATATATATATATATAAGTCATATGCAGTTAGCAAATTTTTGTGTTATCAAGTGGCACCACAATTAATTTACCTTTAGCACAACAAATGCACACTACATGGATAGACTGGAATTTTCTTAAAAACACTCCTGGAGAAAGGGAGGGAATTTCGTTCTCCTGTTTGAGTGGCACCCGATACAGCAAAAACAACACAACCAATCCATTTTACGTCAAATAAAAAAACGAACGCACATTATGACACCATTAAAATTTGATGAAGTTCTTTCCAAACATCACAGGCCTGACAGCAGTGCTGCATGGAATTCTTTACATTCTGGAAAATTCCTCCTATTAGTCTTGTGGTAGATGGTGCTGAACGGAAGGTTGCAGGAACAGCAATCCTGCTGAAAGTCGTCATGTGTAATCCATTTCCCGAGCTAGTAGTATGAATATGTATTCAAATGATGAACTGGTCGACATGCTGATTGTGTATGCAGCTGCGGATTGTAACAGGCGTTCAGCTCGGTGGTTGTACCAGGAACGTTACCCAAACAGGCGTGCTGCATTTCACACAACCTTTGCCAGTGTGAAGAGAAAGTTATGTGAGACTGGTTGTCTGATGAGAGCTACAATGAATTGGTGGCAAACAATGAAAGCACCTCACAATTAGGAAGCGGTCTTACGTCTGGCAGAAGACAATCCAAGTACGAGTACTCTAACGATGGCCCAACAAGTGGTTTATCTCAATCCATTGTCTGGAGGATACTCGCAGAAACCAAATGAGTGCATAACCGTCTTCATCGTGTCCAATTATTAGAGCGTGAAGATTATCCACTCCAAAGGATGTTTTCTACGAGGTTCCTGCAGCATAGTGCTACATACAGCGCATTTGTTGCATCTGTGTTTTTCACAGATGAAGCATGCTTCACACATGTCGGAGCCTTAAATCAGGACGCCATGTGCAGCTTAAGAGCATTTCTTGGTCAGTGTTTGGGCTGGAATTTTTGGAAACTACCTCATTGGACTGTACCTTCTGCCCTTTCCGTTTCTTTCCTTTGGACAGTAAGGTATACCTGATCTTCTTTCACCAAGTCCTGCCCAAACGTCCTGATGCCCAAACTTCCCCTCTGTCATTGCACCTTTCCATGTGGTACCAGCATGATAGGGCACCTCCACATTACATGATTGGCATCTGCCTGCACCTTGACATAACCTTTGGATGGTGGTGGATAGGTTGTTGTGGCCCAGTTCCTAGGATTGCCAGACCATCGAACCTATCATGCATGAACTTCTTATGGGGTCGTATGAAGAGTTTGGTGTACGAGACGCTCTCACTTTTAGGTAAAGACCTCATCGCTCAAATATCGTGAGCTGCCAAGAAGATATGTGTTATGGCAGGAATCTTCCAGAACATAAAAGAATTCCATGCAGCGCCGCTGTGAGGCCTGCCTAACGATTTCTGGTCATAATTTCAAGCACCTGTTGTAGTACAACCTTTCAATAAAACATTTTCTGCCCCATGAATGTACTGCAGTTTCTGTTGTTTTTCTGTTTTTTTGCACCATAGCTTACAACTACAGCATTTACGACTCTGCATTCCTATCTGATTCCAAGTTGTCTCTGTACCCCCTACAACACCCTGCAAGTTTGTCAGTCTGGTAGTGAATCAGCCTGTGTGTTTGTGGTTCCCCCCCCCCATTTCAATTTTTCATGGTTCAAATTAAAGTTCCTTTAAAAAAACTTCTCAAAAGTCAATTTTCAATGCTTCAAGTTTCTTCATTCTAAGGAGATAATATACTCGATAATCCATTAGTAAATAAATTATTATGTATATATATATGTTATAGCTTAAGTATTGAAATTAGGTATAAATTGTTAAATAAAATCATATGAATAAATCCAAACACTCGTCTGATATTTATTAGATGAAAATGTTCTCTGTTTTTCTGTTAAAGTTTGATAAATCATGGCAAAACATATTCAAAACATGCAGAAGTGATCTGACTTTACCAAATTGAGAGGTTAAGTGAATGCTTGTTGTACCTTAAACATGAAACTGTGGAAAACGAGATTTCTTATTTGCTGCAAGGAAAAGACCACTTATTACCTCTGTATTATAATTGACTTTTATAATTAGGAAATGTACTAATTGACTATTTGAAGTTTTTAAGGTTTTCTGCATGTGCCATAATTGTGCTGTGCTTTCACATTAGGTGACTTAAATGTAAGTAGGTTTCGTTTAAAAATATATTTTAAAAAAATTTATATGCAGATTGCTGTTGATTGTGTTTGATATGCAGTGTGTAACCTATCCTGCAGCAGACTGTGTGGTATCTTTCTTGATTGTATTCCATGTATAACAAATGGTTTCCCAGTTTCATTTGCAGGTAATTCTCAGAGCTTTTGCACTGTGCTCCTTATTCAACCCACTATCATTTGCTCAGCTTTTCAAACACATTTTTTTTCCAAGACAGCCTTCGCATATTTTGCTATAAATTTATCCTTAGTTGTAGCTAAGGATGAAATGCCAATTGAAATTAGTGGCTATCCAAAGCATGAGAGATTTTTGTAAGATTTTTCTGTAAAAGAAGTGCAACTGTTCTATTTTAAGTCGATCAACATTGCAGCTCTAAGTTTAACATGTTAGAATTACGTAACACAGAATGCTTTTATAGTTGTTGGATATGAAACCTTTTAAATAATGTTACAAGAATTATTTGTTTTCCTGAAAGCTAATAAAGATCAGGATAAGTAATTTCTCCTTTGAAATTTCTTCATGAAATAATCCCTAATTCTCATTTCTCTCATAATTATGTGTTTAAAAAATGAAAAAAAAATCTGTAAATGAGTATCAATTATGTATTATGAAATGCTGGATATTTTCCAGTATTCTCCCCCTCTCTCTTGCTGAGACATGCTAATTACCTGAGCAGAGTATAGACTATTTTTTTAAGCTCAGTCTGTCTGTATCATTGTGTTACTTATTAGCTGTAACGTTCAACATAGGTGTACTAGGTGTGTTTTAAACACTTAAATCTTCTACAAAATTAGATTGTTTAGTGTATAGATGTAGCCAAAAAATTAAGGTGTTTTCTTTTATTGCTCTACTACTCATCATCTGAATATGTGACAAAATCCTCTTTGCTGGAAACTATAAAATTCTGTTTCATCTTCTAATCGATATTGTCTTTCCTGTTTTAGAGCGTTTTACTAGATCTTTTATCTGGTTCAACAAACAATACCACATTTGAGCCAGAGATCTCTGCACCTGAAGTCAAACTGCCATCTGTGAATGGACCAGATTTACTTGATCTTTTAGGTGGCTTAGACCTAGAACCTCAGGTTCAAAGTATGCATAGCTTTTAATGCTTTTTTTTTAATCATAAAATTTTTATAATGCATTTCTTATCAATCTTGGTATATTGATCAATTTTATTTGAACAATCATTACAAAAGATAACTAGGAATAGTATTTGTATTCCAACTTTTATCTTTTTCTTTATATTTTAACTTTAATGTTGTGTTTGATTCACATGACTTATGCAGGAATTCATTGCAGCAGCATCATTCCAAGAAATGCTTCTTAAATCAAATGTTCCAACATTTTAAATTATCATTATCATTTTTTATATATAACATTACATTTTTTAAATATTCCTACATCTTCATTTCTTTTAATATTATTATTACTGCTATTTTTATTTACTGTTATTATTTACTTATTTTATTATTTACTAGATTATCATTTTTAAATTATTCCTATATTTTCTACACCTGTAAGTGCATCTTTAAGTATGTAAAAAATAAAAATAAAGGTATTTTTTAGGTAATTTCTACATTCCTAAATCACTCAAATATATGAAAAGTTTGTTTTATAATTTTTTAAAAAGTATATTAAATAAAAGGGAAAATTAATCATTGTGTAATTCTCCTTAATCTTAAAGATATTTTTTTATCAGAAGGTATTTTGTATTAAAAACTAGCATTCAGTTTGCTTAACAAATAGACTCATAAATTCTGTGAGCCTTTAACCGTTTGCTGGTCATCATTGAGCTCAGCTCTTATTCCACTTATATACTGCAGTAGGGATAAATGAACACAGCCACATAACAAATTTCTCTCTAAATGGTAATGAGTTCAACTCATTAAGTAGATTTTCCCCTTAATGCATGTAGATGAAGTGTGCTCATTCTTCGAAGTAAACCTGTGTTTTTTAGCTGTATGTTCGAGTTGAATTCACATATTAGCTGATTTACTCAATACATATGGCAGTAGAGTGCTAGATTGTTTCCTGAATAAGAAGGGTGAATTTGATATTTTATATTTTGAATGCGTGTTATAGCTTAACCCCTTCGCGCCGACTGTCACGTATATGTGGCAGCAACGAACGCACTTACCTACCGGCCGACACGCAGGCGTGCCAGAGGATTCTTCCATTCTCTACCGACTGTCACGTATTTGTGTCAGTACTTTGGAACGTTTTTCAAACTATAATTTCTGCCACAAGATGGCACTGTATGTCCATATGGTTTCAGATACATGTACATTAGACCTTCTTCTCGAAATGAGAGAAGCATGACTCACATACACGTGTTTTTGATTATATAAACAAACGGGGAAATAAATGTTTCCGAATGTCGTGATTTATGACATCTCTTTAAATCGCATTTTATTCGCACGTGGTAGTTGTTTACTGTAAGTAGAGAAGTTTTATTTGCTCTAAAGCGTTGGGTATTTCGGTTTGCAGTTCAGTTTTTAGAAAATAATTAGATCTTGTTAGACGTGAATTCTTTGTATTTACCGTTGCAATGTCGAAGCGTCGAAAATGTTTAACAGAGCATGAAATAGCAGAAATGATGCAAAATATTTCAGATATTGATTCTGAAATTCTGATATTCTGATATTGATTTTTAAAGAAATAACTGAAAGACATTTTCGAAAACTTTGTTCAGAAGAGACTGATAAGAAAATGAGATGACAATGCTTCGTTTGTTCACATTCCCGGAAAAATCCTCCAAAACGCAAATGAGTTATTACGAGTGCAAGGAATGTAACATACGACTGTGTGTAGATCCCTGTTTTCAAATTTTTCATACGAAAAGATAATTTTAAGTAATATATTTAGTTTTCAGATGTATAATGTTAAAATTCATAAAATGGTGAGTAATTAAAATAAAATGTGTAAAATATGCATTTAAACAAGAAATAAGGTAATTAAAGTATATATATAAAAATATTTATAAAGCATAAGCCGTTTAAATACTCTATAGAGCATTATTAAACAATGCGTTGATACTTTGAAATTTCATGGATTTAGGCTTAGTAGCAAAAAAGCCCCCGGCCCTGGAGAGACGCTCGCGTAAGACACTGCCGGCCTCAGCGATAAGCGCGCGTTTTCGCTACCCGGCTGGAAGAGGTTAAAACAGTGTCATTGAAAGAGACATTTGATTCTGAAGATGACATCTTTCATTAGATAATGAAAAGATTTGATTCAGATGTAGGTATTTCTTTTAAAATTTTAGATGCTTCAAGTGAAAAAGATTTTAACAGTGTGAAATGACCCATTTTATACCATTCCATGTTTCGAATTCTATCACACACAGATGTGTTTTATGTTTTAAAGATACAGTGCTAAATCATTATTATAATGATAGATTAATAATGTCTAAATATAATACCAAATAATATGTTATTTTTAATAAATTTATTATTTGTTATAGTTTAATATATTGTTTTTATTATTTTCTTTGAAATCAGTGTAAAACAGAAACATTGTATAAAGGTGCATGCACATTTTCCCGTTGAAAAAGGTCTTTATTTTTCTCACTCAAAGTGACATTTAACAAAGCATTTAGGAAGAAAACAAGTGCCATCTGTTCCCATTCTGAGTGCTGGATATCTGGCATATTTGTGAAGAAATAACTGTGTTCTTGCAACTACCGAAGGGTTAATGATCTAGAGTAGCGATGGCGAACCTGTGGCACGCGTCATCAGCCGGCATGCGACTAAAATATTACTTGCTTAATAATCACAATAAAATGATGCTATGTAATTTAAATAAGCGTTTTAGTCTTCTTGAACGTTTCACATACTTATCGCATAATGCCACTGGCATAGGGCCTAAGCCTAGATATAAGATTTTCTTATACCGCCATAGAAATTATATATATACTTATTGACCCAATTTATGGTGTTTCAAATGTTTGGGCCTATCAAATTACTTGTTACGTGCCAAAGAATATACCAGAGTTGAAACAGCTAAACTTTGCTAAACGAAAGACATGCAATTTGATAATCTAGCAAAACACAGAAGCTTAGTAGGGAAACCAAGCTTATTTGCATGCGCTCAACTAAAATAAGTCCAATAAAGCCGAAAAGGAACATATGAAATCTGTAGTTAGAAGTTTGGCAAAGAGATGTCCAAGTTATCTGTTACTGCTGTCCCCTGTTTATATTTGAATCTGCAGCCATAAATTGTTCCAATTCCAATTCCTTACTATTGGCTAATAATGTTACCTCTTTTTAGTACATGATTTATATTTAATGCTTCCTTTTTAAATTTTGTGATCAGGGTTCGTAGCGGTCCTTACAAGTGCTTATTAATAAGTCCTTATATTTGAAAATAAAATATAAAGGCCCTTATAGGTGCTTACTTTTTCTTTAAATCCCCCCCTTTTTTTTTTTTTTTTTTTTTTTAGTGCTTTTTTTAATCCTTTTTTTTTTTTTTTTTTTTAATGAACATGCATTTTTTTCCCGTACCAAAGCTGAAACTAAATAAACAACTTTTTTCCTTATATAAATAAATGCAACGCTTGGTTGGTGAATCATACTCCCAGAAATTGCTTTTACCCCCTTTCTCTGCATTAACGTAACCTATGGTGCGCGCGAGAGTACAGACAGGTGCACGTCGTTCTATTGGTCAAAGAATTGCAAAAACGATAGAAAATTCCGGTACATTCGGTATTCTTTTCCTCCCACCCAAATACTACACACGTTTGGATTTCCATCAAGATTTTAATAATTTGCATTCTCGTTCCACGTGGTCAGTTCATATTCGTGTTTATTATGATCGTTAAGCTTATATTATAAGCAAATGCATGAATATCTATAATAATATAGTTGCAGTAACTGCTGAAGTATAGATAAACTTCCAAAAATGGGTGTGGTTTTACATAGATTAGCTTTCTAAGGAATAATATGCGGAATGGCTTAAATAAAAGGAAAGTAATGGAATAGTCAAAATAATTTTTTGGGGAGGGGCAATACATTATACAGTACGGAGATTGGGAGGTTCTCCCCTTTCTCCGCAAAATCTCTAATATTGAAGCAGCAGACTTTGTTTTGTCACTGTCCAATCTGGATTGAATAGGACTAAAAGTTTTTGCGGTCTACCCAACCTAAGCAAAGATAGATTCTATTCCGGAAATTTAACGCAGTCTGTTGAAAATTAGGATCAGAAACACCCCAGATTAGTTAAGTCTCTTTCTTTTCCTTTATTTAGTTCTTTATTCTCCGAATACCGGCAGCTGTTGATTCCGATTGCGTAATATCACATGTGGAAGAATTACACCGTGTGTATCACGCAATAACGTTTGCGGTATTTTGCAGACATAATTAATTTCGATGTTCAGTCTGAGATTTGTTTATGAACACTTAAAAGAGTTTTACTGTGCTTTCTAAGCAGAATATTTCCGAGTTCTGTTGGTCTATTTTTGTATGATGCACATATCGAAATGTCAAAATCATTTATTTAGCCGAAAAATCTAAAGAACGGCTACAATCTCCCCCACTCCTCTTTTTCCAGTTACTATCCGGAATATTCGGCAGTTTCCGAGTACGCGAGTTAGTTACGCTTTTACTGTTAAAGAATGACTGCATGAAACAATTTCCCATCTTCTGATTTCAGAAATGTGCCACTTTTTTATTTAAATTATTTTGCTTGGAATATATGTTAAGGGAAAACTGTTATGCATTGAAAATGTAGAAAATGTTCAGAATTTTGATTTAAGTTAAATTATTTAAATATTAATATGAGTGGAAAAATAAATTGTATTTATTATTAGGTGCCAAATGAATACAATTAATATGGCTTATTATTATTTATTTTCTATATTTTGAACTGAAATTTCATCATTAAATCTTGTAATATAGTTTAGTTCTGCATAGTTTTTTTTTTTTTTTCCTTTCATTGTAAACTAATTCTGTAAACTGAACTGTCATTTAAAATTTAAAAAAAAAAAAAAAAAAAAAGTTGTTTTCCATGGTTGAGGTAATGCTTATTCTCTTAATAAATATTGCATTGCTCATATTTTAAATTCAAAGTGTAATTTTTCTTTTAAGGTTATGCAGTTGTGCATAATGTAATTAGACAGGTGCTTATTTTTTCCTTAAAATGTGCTTGAAAAGTGCTTATTTTTTTTTAACTAAAATGTGGCTATGAACCCTGGTGATTTTCTATACTCCAGGTCTTGAACCTTGACTAATGACTCCAGCAAAAAAAGCAAAATTAAACGTTGATAGTGGAAGCATTTCAAGAGACCTGGACAGAATCATTTGAAGTTATTTGAACACAATATGAAAGCATTATGCATTCTGTGAATCGAAAGTTTTGTTTGTCGCACATCTAGTGTCAGACGGCACTTAAACACCAATCGCAAGATTGCTGCCAAACTTGATGAAGCTGAACAGAAGGAGTTTATCGAAGGGAAATTGAGGAATTGTAATTATCAAAAAGTTGGCTTTTGCAATTGTCTTTCTAAAACAAACCATCTAACAATGGCCAACTTTCAAATTTCGCTGTGCCTGGCAAAAAATCTTAAACGGCTCTCAGATGGGGGATTTAATCAAAGAGGTTTTGGGCACGCAGCCCCAAAAAGGTTCACCACCACTGATCTAGGGCAAATAGTCATTAAATATGAAAATCAGAAAGAGTAGTAGTTTCAATTTCCTTTAATGTATTCTTCTTTAACTGAATATTCACAAAACATTTTTATGAACTGTGTTTGTGAAATATGTATGCTTAAGTCTTTGTTTCAGAGAGTAATGTATTTGCTAATTCATTCATACATTGTAGGCTCTTATAGTCCGTCTGCACCTGACATTTTATTGGAGAGATACGTAGGCTCTCAACAAAGTGCAAAAGGTAATTTTTTTATAATGTTTTTAAAGGAAATAATTGTGTTAACTTTAAATTACGGTATCTGTATTTTCTATTATTTTCCTTAGGTATTCCTCCAATCACAGCCTTTGAGAAGAATGGCCTGAAAATCATTTTTGAATTTGATAAATCACCTGATAATCCACAAATGATTATTATTAATCTCATAGCTACAAATTATTCTTTAAGTCCCTATACATGATTTCCTGTTTCAAGCTGCTGTCCCTAAGGTTAGTTTATGATTTGTGAATTATGTGCCAGGTTAACTAACACATTATGTAATGTGAAAATGCAATTAAGTTTTTTGTCTGAATGTTTATATTCTATTCCTGGTTTGTCTAACTTGTTTCTTTTCATAATTTCTAGGTATTTCAGTTGCAATTGTTACCACCCTCAAATAATATAATACCTGCCAATAACATGGGTTATATCCAACAAACGCTCAAAATTTTAAATCCTAGCAAGGTCAGTTTTATTTGAATTAGTAAAATGTTTTTCTTCTATTAGATGTAAGTTGAACTTAGATATCTACTTCAAAATGCTAAATATGTTTTTCATATGTAGAGTCAGCTACGAATGAAGCTGAGGATATCCTATGTATCAAATGGCAATGCCGTCTTAGAACAAGTAGAAGTAAATAATATACCCCAAGCTGTATATTTGTAAATCAATTGAAAAGTAAGTTTTTTTTTATTACTTGTTCTATCCTTTATGTTTATGTCAATATTTAAGCTAGATAATTTACACAAATATGTGCAGCTTTTAGATTTTCATGGAGGATGCTGTAAATCAGCCTTTCTCTGTTCTTTGGAGAAGCTCGTGAATTTGCATGAAATTCCTGCATGTTGATGAATTTATAGAGTCATCACAAAAAAAAAAAAAAAAAAATAGCATGATTCACATAGGGCATTTTATTTCTTTGTAATATTATAAATATTTAATATATGTAGAATTATTTAATTTCTCCTGTAAAAGAAAACTGTCGTTTAGCTATTTTCCAGGTAAGTAGACAGATATAGCTTCATATATATGTATATATGAACTCGAAAAAAATATAGGAAAAAGAAAATTAGGCTTTGATGTAGTAGAGAATATTAAATGGAAGTGCAGTTATTAAAAAAAAAATTTATCTTTCTGTCATTTTCTATTATGAAATTTAGTCTGCCCTTGTTTATTGTCACAAGTCTTTTTGAGAAAATGAATACAATGTAAGAGGAACTTGCAATAACTCGGTAAGCTGAATGTCTTACTGTGAGATATGGTGTGTTACAGAAAAACTGACGATAATTTACATCATGATAATATTCAACCGAAATCTATTTTCATGCTAATTCTAATATAAAATCTGCTCTAGCTGTAATGAAATCCTGTTGCAGATGTGCAGTGCTGCCTGTGGCATCATAAAATACACAGTTAAGAATTCAGGAGGATGACCTTAAGCATTAGTGTTTTTTTTTTTTTTTTTTTTTTTTTTTTGAAGATATATCAGAGGTAGGATTTCTAGCATTTCTGTTGCAAGATCGCACTTTAAATAGAAAATAATTACTGTTGCAATCGAAAGCAAGCAAATTCGGAAATTGTTTAAGGTAATAAATGATGCCCATGTGGATGCATGCAAAAACTTTATATATATGAATCAAAGTTTTGCATTCATGCAATTTGAATTAAGTATTTCATAATCATATAAAATAGGTTCACCAATTTGGAACAGCATGTATTTTTAATATTTGTTAAATCCTGCTCAGTATTAATTAGCCATCTCTAGGAAATCATAACTATTACAGTGGCCTAATAGTAGATAGTGCTAATTCAGAAATCTTAGCATGATTAACAGAATAGGAATTTTCTTAACTGCTTCATTTATCAACATGGGTTTGTGATGTCATTATTTTGTCAAGAGAAATCATTTTAGACCATGCAAAATAAGCAGATTTAGGTAGATCAGAAAATTCTCTCATATTGGTCACTTCTTGTATTTCACCCCTCAATTTCTTTAAAAGAGTCGAAGTCATAACTAACACTGGGATGAAAATTTTAGGTACTTTAGCAAAGTGCAAGCAATGAATCACCAAACATTGTTAAGCCACTGCCACTGATATTGCAACCACTTTCTGTCATTCTCCTCCTGGATTTTTAACATCTGACAGTTGATTATTTTTCTCAGGACTCCATTGCGTGTGGTTATGATGAAAATTAAATATTAACCTACAACTGAGGAAAATATCATACTATTTCTTAAGGAAAAATTGTTCACTAATACATACTTCATTATGTGACTTACTACAAATTCTCTAGTCAGTCATAGAATGAAGTTGTAATTTGCCATTTGCTGGCAGAGCAAGAAATATGGAAGGACAGTGTAACATCACACATAATATAACACCATTGAATTCATGTGCAATAGGGAAGCAGATGATTCATTTCAAAAAAGTCTAAATTATACTGAAAGTTTGGACTCCATTAACATTAAAAAAATAAGCTTTTTATTACTATTCCTATGTGGGCTATTACAAATGCTGCTTTAAATGTCTAAATATTGTGCTTTATGTGTTTCGTTCATTTATTAATTCATAGTTTTGGGGAAAACATATACCCTGAGATAATAATCTCAGCCTGTATGTAAAGTGCAATTGAAAAATAGATTTTGCTAAGTACTTATCACAGAAGAACTTTTCCGGAGTCTTTTCTTTTTTGTGGAAGAGATCTATTGTCTTCTTTAAAGACGTTTTTCTGAACAGGCTTCGTACGGTCCTTAAAAGTCCTTAGGTTTTTGGAATCAATTTTTGGTCCTTAAAAGTCCTTAATTTCATTCAAAATCGGCAGAAGGTCCTTAAATTTAATTATCTGAACTTTCTGCCTTGTTTTTATGACTGCTATTTTGAGTTTGAATTATCATTTTGAAGGAATATTTTTAGCAATAGTCACTGAACAATATTATCTTTTGAATGGGTTCATGGGTTATAATTTGTTTCTATTGCTAATAAAAAGGGTATGATACTGGAGTTTCTGAGCAAGAAGCATAAACATTTAAAAATTATTTAATTTTTTTCCCTAATAAAGAGTTCTTAAACAACTCTCCGCTTTTGGGTATGATGTGAATTCTTTTATTAAACGGCTCTAAATTTGGCAATTTTAAGATCAGTTTCGATATAAAATTTTTAATTCGGAGATCTGGGAATTTTTCGAAGATTTTTTTCAAACAGTATAACATTGATAAATTTAACTAAAATAATGATAATATTGTAGAAAGCTTTGTTCTATCCAGAAATATGATGAACGTGAACTTACTTCCTAGGTGGCTGTCTAGGGGCATGAAATGACGAATCTAATTTGTGGAAAACTCGAATATTTAATGGAAACACGAATAGCTGCTACAAACTACAAAGTGATTACATATGTGGCAGGAAATAGATGATATTATTTAGAGATGAGGCAAAACTAACATCTTTTACACATATGCGTGTTTGAATACCATCCTCTTTTTATACACGTCTTTAAATGCCATGTATAAAAAAAATTTTTTTACATATCGTTGTCATGCTTACTAACGTCCTTCTGCGAATGATTGCACAGTTCACTCTGTCATAGCACTCGGGACCCAAAGGTCCTTTCTCTATGGCTTGATACTGCATCTACTCAATTACGCATTCCCATAATATATTAAAATTATGTTAAAGGAATAACATTAAAACTTTTTTTTTTTTTGGCTGTCATGTTAAAAAGTGGCATTACTTTGCATTTTAGTGACTTATTATACAGTAGTTTGAATCTGAAAAATAAAAGAGGTAATAAATGCCATAAAGCACAGTTTATAAAATAATTCATAGCAAAATAGCTATGTAATTAATGAAAAATTTCTTCCTTTTAATTTTTGCATAGTTAAATTTTTCCCATGTAAATGTCTCAGAATTGACAGAATATGCATCAGTTTTTCTCTTTAAATTTAATTTTATGCTTTCTTCCACCACCACCACCTCCTTCCTCCTCTTTTTTTTAATATGTCCGGCTTTTTTTCTGTTACGAAATTGGTAGGTCAAATTTTCCTTTAGAATTTTGAGCATTGCAACCAGGAAAGTTTAGAAGGATTTGTACATATTGTCGTCACGCTCTTACTAATGTCCTTCTGCAAATGATTGCGCAGTTCACTCTGTCATAGCACTTGGGATCCAAAGGTTCTTTCTCTATGGCTTGGCACTACATCTACTCGATGCCACATTCCCATAACTGCTCGTTCCATCCTGATAGAATGTGGCCTCGCATTCTCGTAGTGCACCATCTACATCTAGGGAATCTGAAAAATAAAACTTAAAAAAAAAGAGATTTCTAGTTAGTATTGAGGGAAAAGTCGTCTTAAATGGTTTATTTCAGCCATCTTCCCTGATCATCTTAACATATTCAGAAATAACAGCTTTAGCTCTTTTCAATGCTCTTTCAATGTTCGTTCATCTTTAAAAGTCTATCTGAATGCATCTATTTCACGAACACATCTTCCTTTGATGCCCTCTAAAACAGTGGTTCTTAACCAGGGTGCGGGAATGTATTTTTGGGGGTGCGGGAGAAGCTCCTACCTAACCATAAAAATTATTAAATATCATTTATTAAATTTCGGAACTACTCTGATATACGTCCTCAAGGCGCCAAATATTTTTAGCGAGAAACTCCATGCTGCCATATTGCTATCTAAATTTTTTGTCTACATTTCAAACTTTAAGCCTAAAATGTGTCCAAAAACACGGTTTTCGCGAATGCAAAAACCACATTTTGAACACACAATTTAAGCTAAAAATCCGAAACAAAAACAAAAAATTTAGATAGCAAAACCATGAAGTTTCTAACCAAAATTATTTGACAAGAGTCCATGTACACAGCGATATGTTTTAACTTAAAAAAAAAACCTCTACGAATGGCACCATCTAGGTAACGAACAAATTTACGAACTACGCACACCTCGCTTTAATAAATTAACATAACAACAATAAATAACATAACAACAATAAATTAACATAACAACAATAAATTTCAAAGAATACCATGTACACAGCGTTCTGTTTCAACTTTAAAAAACATCTACGAATTGCACAATTTAGACAGTATGCGCTAATCAACAAAATAACTAAAATAAATTTCAAACAATAAAAAAAAAAACAATAACGACAGAAATTTATACTAAAAACACAATGAACATAACATTCTACAAAATAAGAACAAGAATAAAATAAAATGCACTTACCATTAATGCTTTTTCGAACAGCAGAAATACCAATTTCATACCGCCTTTAACATGCCGCCACGTAATCACTATCGTATTTATGTGACAGCCAGACACACTATCCAGAAAATTCATACTATGGTTCACAAATAAATGAAATAACAAATAATCACAAATCCCTACTTCTATCATGCACAGCCACTAAAAATAATCGCCCATACCTTCTTTCCACACCTTCAAATACCCATTGCCCCTCAACAGGATGGCCATGACTATATTTCCTTATGCCGAACTTCAATTCAACAACTTTCACCATTAAATCTTTCCCCCCTAGCTTCTCAGACACAAAGCATGATGGGAACCAACGAACTCCAGCGAAAGATTTTTCAACGTCAACAGGGTTGCCATACAATACGCAATCGCGCCAAAAACCATCGCAGAACACATATCGCCACATTGGTGAAATTAG